GAAGTGGCGATACCTCAACAGTGAGAAAGTTAGTGCCTGAGATTGGACACAAATCACCGGTCTACCGGCGGCCACATTCAAAGATAACCCATGCATCACATCCTGCTAAATGCGACCGAACTCTTGCATCAGATTTCGTTTTCTCAATGATCACGTTTTACTTCTCCCGTGCATCGTATTACCTAAGTTAGCTAATTTGTTGCAGAATAGGAAGCAACTGATCGCCGCTCTTTACCCCATTCTAGTGAAAACCGATTCCCTAATTTGTCATATTACTTTTGGCTTAACAAGCACAAGACCCTTAAGAGAATGCAGTAGGACGGTTGTTTGCACGACGAAATAGAGTAAGTACATTTGCAGTTATCCCACTGCCCCGATAAAAAGGGAGAGGGTCATATTTCAACTGAAGCTAAGGGTTAGTTGCCTTTAAATGGGTGCATATCGCGAAGTACGTTGAATTAGACGTGTGCATTCACTGATTTGGGAGAGACCTCAAAATTACTGCTAAGTGGAAAAACAATTTAGTTTGAAGTTAAGATCAGTAACGAAGTCTTTTTAGATGAGGAAAACCGATCATATTAGGAGGGGAGAGAAGTTCATATACTGGTCGTACAGTGCTTCGAAATAGTTTCAGCTCTTACAATAGGATAAATTAATTGCACACATTGTACTTCACCTGGAAAAGTACAAAGGAAAATAGGAAGTAAATTTGTACATTACTTTTCAAGTACAAAAAATGGAGAAAAACTCAACCCATCAATGTGAAGCGATTTCAATGACAAACGAAATCAAGAGGCCGATAAAATTCCAACATCCTAGATGAGACTAGGAGGCTGCTGTTGCTGCTGCTGATTATGCTGATTCGCGTCATTCGACCACAGATCCGAAATCACTGATTTGGCCATCTTTGCCGTCAAGAAACCGTTCAAACTAGTACCTGCAGTGTTACCGCCGATAGAATTTCCTTTAAAGCGACACCGCAGATATCCGTAGGCATTGACCGACCCAGACAAACATCCACAAGCAGCAACAAGACACCAGGCGAGCTTCAATGAAAAAACTGCAACCAGAACAAGGATAGCCCAAATCACCGGGAACAGGAGCAATCCAAGCCAGAATAGGCGAGCAGCGGAGCGACGAGAAGCGCGTTCCCGGCTGCTTACTGACTCGTCACCTGCAGCTGCACGATCAGCAGATTCAAAAACCCATTTGGAAGCACCAGTCTGTGGATCAATTGAATTCCACCATCGGAGACCGACGAGAAGACGACCACTAACGTTCTTAACAAGCCAAAAATCGATGGCAAAAAGAGTCAGAAGAGCAACCACAGGAGCGATGAAGGCAGTAGTGAACCAGGAACAAAAAAGATAGAAAATCAGAGCTGATGAGCGTGCGATAAAATGACAGAGAAGAGCGAGGCGACGACGCTTTACGATTTGTCTATAAGTAACATCGTCTGATTCTGTTAGAGTAAGAACAACATCATCTCGGGCAGTAGCATCCATTACAACCTAAAAATGAGACGAAGAGCAATGATACCCATAAGCAGTCTGCATTATTAGGAACGAGAATGAAAGTTTACAATCAATGTAAAGCTAAAGAACCAAGCAAACAAGCATTTGTTCTCCCAATACGAAAAATGTTAAAATATCATAACAAAACCAAAAGATAGAAAGGTCAAAGAGTAATAGAGGAATAGGCACCAAGAGTAGCAGCCTAGAACCTACTACTCGGAGCTATTCAAAGGAGGCGGATACTTGCTGGATAATTTGAACCATGAGCCACAGCAGTAGAATTAAGCAAAACATTCGATTGGAAGACTTTAGAAGTACTACCAACAAGTTAATGTAACTTCATATTTGTTCAAGCACCCTTAGTTTTCTTGAGTGGTATTGGAATGCACCTGAAGATTCAACTTCAAACAGAAAGTTTATAACTTGGCCTTTATCATGACTTGAAGGGCCTCAAAGACAGTAGACTAAACAAGGAAGTTCATCCTCCACTAATGCCTTGTTTATTCGGCTATCCGTATATCTGGCTGTCACATCGGTGTTCGTCCTATACTTGGCTGAGTGGATGACGCTTTTTACCTTTCCCTCCAAGTACAAGCATACAGCATGCCTAATTCTTTCGACTGGAACATGTAAAGGCTTGAACCATAATACTTAGGGCTAAAGAAAACAAGCCTAAATGAGTAGCAATTTCGATCTCGATTTCCATCGTTTACAACAAACATTTGTAATGCAAATGCGGTGCACATGCTTTGGGTGGAAGCGTAGCGCCCCGAGGCTTCCCATAGGGTGGAAGAAGGCATAAGTGAGGTTAAATACATGTAATCCGAAGACGACAGGGCAAATTAGGCCTGAGTGTGGCCCAAAGGCCAGCCCACGTGTACAGGGGCCAGATAAATTCTAAAGCGACCACCAAACGTCAGTTAGTCAAATAAACAAGGCATTACAGGAAGTTTTCTTAATCTCGGCTAGACAAAATAGTTAAGAGAGAAATTCATTTTTGTCTCCTACCCTATTTTTGTAGTCCACACGCACGCTACTCACAAATAGGAAACATTGCTGTAAAATGTCTATGAAAATTTCAGTTCGTAGTTCGCCTCATCGACTTCGATTAAAGATGCCAGTACTGATTGCAATATGTTTGATTTATGACGCAGAACTCATGTATACCGCAGTGCTCGTCAAGAGTTTGATACGCCCAAAGGCACAACCGCGGATATTTTCTTACTATCTTCTGATCCCCCAATTTGAGGCCATCCCCCCCCCCACAAAAGATTTTTCAATAAAACCACACAGAAAAAACATTGTAAAGAAACTTAAATGAATTCACTGGAGCCTGGAAGAGAAGCCTCAGTGACAGTAGGCCAAATATCCCTCTATTTTGGACTCATTTCGATCCCATCTTCCTTATTACCCATTTGCTCTAGTGCAATTTTTGAAAGTCTATCTCTGGACACGTGTTATGATCAGAAGAATACCTTGTAGCGTCCCGAGGCTTCCAATGGGGTAGTGGAAGGCATAGGTGAGGTTGAATACATGTATTCCGAAAGCAATAGGAGAAATGGGCCCTGAGCTTGGCCCGAAGGCCAGCCCACATGTACAGGTCCCAGACAAGTTCTAAAGTGACCGCCAAACGTCAGATAGTCACATAAACAAAG